GGGATCATTTATTGAGCACCTTCTGTGTACATAGTGCTGCAACCCCAAAGTATAGGCTCACAGCCTGCTTTAGCGATGCAGTGGGGGACATCAGGACCTTAGGATCAGCACTTCACCAGTCGGCAGCTGCCAGAGCCCATAGTGACCTGGGCAGAAAGCTCGTGTATGATGGGAGGTGGTCCCTCAAGTGCAGGACAGACACCGCAGAGCAGGCCCTCCTTCCCAGCACCTCGGCATCTGTGTGCCTCTGTGTCCTCATCATCTCCCTTCTGGGTCACTGAGGAATGGAGCAGGTGTATGCCTGGCGCTCACAACACTGTGACATATATTAACTGCAAAATAAATGTCAGCAGTGTTATTATTCTATACTTAGCCTAGACTTGGCACAAACCTGGGCTTGGCCCAGGAGTGAAGGTTCCGATGGTAGGCCTGGGCCTACAGTGTGGCCCATTGTGCTTGTCTCTGCCATTCATTCTTGGAGGTCATGGGAGCTGGGAGCATTTACACCGTAGAAATTGACAAATGATACCAAGCAAGCTTTTCTGTTTTTGCTTTAGGAGACAGGGTTTCTTCATGTAGCCCTAGGTGTCTTGGAACTACCTCTGTAGACCAGACCAGACTGGCTTGGAGCTCACAGAGATCCGCTTCCAAGCAGGGCTTTTAGGGAAGGTGAAGGACCTCAGGCAGGCAGGCAAGTAGACATGATCAAAGTGGGTGCGTGCCTGGAGGCTTGCACCCAGGAGGATGCCACTCAGCCCTGCTGGCCGTCTCAGACCCTGGCCCCATGATAGTCTGATCGTGACGATGAAGAATGGCTGTGGGCCTGAGTCTCGGTGTGTGCAGCACGCCTGTGCAGCAGAGCTTGCTCTGAACAGCTACATTGTGCGGGGATGCAGCCCCTACTTGCCTTCTCAAGGTGTGTTTTGTGCTGTTCTCAGCCTGCACAACTTGTGGCCAGCCAGGAGCACCCATGTTTCTGCAGGCCTATGAACACAGTTCTGGGGTTAGCAAGCTGTCGTTTGTGTGTGTGGAGGTGGTTCTTCTGGGAGGAGAAGGCCGACAGCCTTTAGAGAGGTGGCATTTGGGGTGGACTCTGACTAGAGGAGAAGGGTCTTCTGGGGAGAAGCTGATGGTAGCGAAGGTGTGGAGGCACATCTCAGTCTGACCTGGACGACCCTAGGGTGCTGAGACAACAGAGCATGGCCCCGTGGTAACCCTGTTGAAGCAGGAGAAATCTGCATAGGCCCACTGGGATCAAGAGCTCAAGAGCCTGAGCATTTGTTTTGTTTTTTTTCTTGAGGCTAAGACGTTCCCATAGAAGTTTTTGGGTTTCCCTCCAGAACCCCAGTCCTTGGAGTCCCTTCCCTCTTCACTCAAGCTCAGATTGCTCAGAGGCACAAGTTGCTGAGCCGGTGCTAGGCCGTATGAGAAGGAGCCCACCTTGTTGCAAACCTTGAGTCCAGGGTGTATCCAGGGAGGTGACAGGGTTTGGCAGGGTAGAGGCCTGGACTGCCGCATTTCCCTCCTTCCTGTTAGAACTGCAGAGCCACAGGACCCCTTTGGTTAAGAAATGTAGACTGACCACTGAGCCATATAGCAGACTCTGGATCCAGGCAGTTGTGGACTAATGAAGTGGATGCTGTAAGAGAAGGCTGCCCCCTAGTGGAAGTCGCTGCTTTGGGAATTTCAGCTGTGTGGAGCCCTGTGCCACAGTTGACTTGTGTGGGGAGAGCTTCCTGCCCAGTGAGCAGCAAGGTTGTGACCCTGTGGTTTGTCCTGTGCTCAAGTGTGTGAGGATGGATAAGTGAGCAAGTTGAGAAGAGGAGCAAAAAGATCAGAGGTCGTGTATGACTGAACGAATGAGGGAGTGGCTCGAATTCTGCGGTCCCTTGAGAACCCTGGCCAATGGCTTTTATTTTACACTAGAAAACAGAGAACTAGACAGGGCCACCAGGGGGAGGCCAGGAGGTCCCCTGACACCTTCCTCCTCACTTCTGCTGCAGCCCCGAGCCATGATGAAGACCTTGTCCAGCGGGAACTGCACTCTCAGCGTGCCTGCTAAGAACTCCTACCGAATGGTGGTGCTGGGTGCCTCCCGTGTGGGCAAGAGCTCTATCGTTTCCCGCTTCCTCAATGGCCGCTTTGAGGACCAGTACACGCCCACCATCGAGGACTTTCATCGGAAGGTATACAACATCCACGGGGACATGTACCAGCTGGACATCCTGGACACCTCTGGCAACCACCCATTCCCTGCCATGCGTAGGCTTTCCATCCTCACAGGTGAGGTGATGGAAGGGACAGGACAGCTGGCCTGCACTTCTGTTTAGGGAAGTGCTTCATGCCAGACAAGTGGTGGTGGGGTCCACAGCAGCATCTGCCCTGTAGCTTCCCACTGCTGCTAGATCAGGGCCCTTAGTGATCGACACTCTTTAACTTAGAGTTTGGCGTGTGTTTAACCTTTACAGCTAGCCTATGAGACAAGTGTTTGCTGTCAATTTTACAAGGGGGAAACCAAGGCAGAGAGGTTAGTGCCTTTATCCCGGTGGGAGCACAGCTTATGATGGCTGTTGAGGAAACTGCCCTGTGGCCTGTCCTCTCCGCCGGGGGCAGCGTCTGGAGAAAGGCAGGATTGCGGCCACCAGGGGCCCTGGTGGTGTGGCACTGGCTGTCCTGGTCATTCCTTGAAGTCAGTCTTGAATTGATCAATGTCTCTAGTGTGACCACTGTGGGCTAAGTGGTGCCTTGAACTGCATCCCTGGACAGAGATGGGAGGAGGGAGCATCATGAAAGCAACCCTCAGGTTGGGGTGATAACCCAGGAAAGCTACTGTTTGAGAACAAGGACAGCGTTTGGTCCCTAGCACTCACCCCAAAGTGGAGTGTGTGGTGAGCACCTGCTTTTCCGGCACTGGGGAGGTAGAAACAGTGGGATCCCTGGGGCTTGTTGGTCAGCCATCCTAGCCTAATCAGCAATTTCTAGATCAGTGAAAGACTCTTAAAAAACAAGGTGGCTGGTGCACAGGAACACATGCAGTGCTGATCAACACATGCACACACAGACACAAATACAGAATGAGTTTATAAAGCAGTCTCACGTCGAGACATTCCCCTTCTTCTTTCCTCTCGGGTTAATTTAGAGCCCCGTGGCCGACTCCCTTCTGGCCATGGAGCTCCCCTTTCCTGGTCACTTTTTGGTGTACGAGGTCCTTCTGTCTGTGTGTTACTTGTCTTGGTTAATGAATAAAGAAACTGCCTTGGTCTGTTGATAGGGCTGAACTTAGGTAATTGGAGAGATGAAACTTAGGTAGGCGGAGAGACAGAACTGAATGCTGGGAGAAAGAATGGGAGATGCCATGGATCTGCCGCCAGAGATAGATGTGTTGGAACTTTTCTGATAGGCCATGACCTTGTGGTGATATACAGATTAATAGAAATGGGTTAAATGAAGATGTAAGACTTAACCAATAAGAAGATAGAGCTAATGGGTCAAGCAGTGATTTAATTAATACAATTTCGGTATGGTTATTTCGGTTCTGGGTGGCCAGGACAAACAAGTAGGCCCTCCTCCTACAACTTTTTCTGTCCCAGACTGCTCTTGGGACACCCTTCACCCCAGATTCTGAGAGGGAGCATCTTGCTTAAGGAACCCCAGGTGGGCCTGGGTTCAAATCCTGAGCCTGTCTCTATAGCATAGTGATGTCATTGTTAGTGTCTTTGTGACCTTGCTCCTCATGTGGCTATGAGGACAGGAGGGTGTAGGACAGCTCCCTGCAAAAGGTGAGTGGGTGAGCTCATCCTATCTAAGGGGACTGGATGTCTACTGGTAGAAATATGCATACTTCAGTGTTAATATTCAATTGTGCAAGAGATGCAAAGACAAGCTTTCCATCAGACAGTGCTTATTAGGCATACATCCCCCATCGCAGGCCTGACGTGTAGGTGGCCACCTAATCCCTTGCCAGCACACTGTATTGACATTCATTCTGTACCCTCTGAAGGCATGCACTTTGGTCTGTTTCCTGCATGCTGCATTCTGAACACATCTGTCTGTTGCTTTACTTGCTCACCAGCCCAGGCAAGGCCACATTTTTTGGGTACAAGAGATGCTCAGGGCTGCTCATTCCCACCAGCTTTTCCTGCAGCTGCTGGTTGGCCGGGCCAGGCTTAGATGTCTGGCATTCACAGTCTCAGATTTGGACACTTGGAGGCTACGAGTCCTCAGGGGCAAGGATTAGTCTAACGGGACAGAATGAGGCTTGGCAGCAGGAGCCAGAGCAGTTGATAGTTCATCATCCAGTCCTTTTCTGAGCTCACTGGAGGTCAGTGTGTGCAGTTCCAGGGGCAGGTGGTTGGGCTAGAATGGGCTGCTGTGCTTCTCAGCCTTACCCACTAGCTCATGATGGCTATGTGTCACTGTAGGGACCAAAACACGTTTGTAGAGGCCAGAGAGGATGAGGAGGAAGATGAGGATGTGTGATGCTCTGCTGGACCCAGTGGCTGGGCCACTATCTGCAAATCAGGGGCCTCAGACCCACACTCAGGGCTGGAAAGCGGAGGGAAAGGGTCTTGGAGGATGAAATTGTTACTCTGTGGTGACCTCAGACTCAGCTAGAGGTAGGTTCACACACCTGGGACCCTCCCAGGGTGTGCCCTAGCCATTGAGTCAGACTCAAAGCCCCATTAGTGTGTTGCGGTGACTGCAGTATGGACCATGATCTCTTACTTATTGCATGGCTCATCCTAGAATCAGAGAGCACATCCTGTGTGTCAGCCATCGGCCAGGTGAGAACCAGATCTGGTCACAGATTTGGCACAGACACATTTGAGTTGTGTGACCTCGGGAAGGTTGTTTGCCTTTTTTGAGCCCTAGCTGGCTCACCCATAACAGAAAAGTAATAAAAGCTTCCCCATGGAGGTTTTGTGAGGTGCCGAGGAACAGCAGGCACACACAGTGCTCTGCTCCCAGCAGGTGCCCATTCCCGTGAGCATTATTGAGCATTATTGGCTGAGTGTGGGCTGCTCTGCATGCATTAGCTCAGGTGCCCTCCCGCAGGCAGCTTCTTTCACATGATGTGGGAAGGAAATTGAGGCTCCCGGAGGTTACTGGGACCCTTCAAGGTCACACAGTTGCTAGGCTGAGGTAAGATGCAAACCCAGGTCCCCTCTTACTACCGTCCTCTGCCACACAGACACCAGTGCTTGCCGAATTCCTCCCAAGGTACTGATGCCAGCTCCGGGTGTGGCTAAGGCCAGTCATACCTCCATGTGTCAGTTTTCTGAGAGTCACTGTGTAACCCCATAGGGGTGACGGGCCCTCCACAGTCCTCTGATGAAACAGGGAGGACTGGCCACGTCTGAGCCCAGCTCGGTGTGCTGCACTCTCCCTAGAAGCTCCTCTGAGCCTTGGCTCCCTTCTCTGGCAAGTGGGGACACTGATAGCAGCCCCCAGGTCAGGGTTTGCCAGCTTCCTAAAGGCAGCTGATGGAACTTGTGCTGAGTGGGACACCAGGCCAGCCTGTCACTCGATCAATTACCTTGTTTCCTCCACAGGAGATGTCTTCATCCTGGTGTTCAGCCTAGATAGCCGGGAGTCCTTTGATGAGGTCAAGCGCCTCCAGAAGCAGATCCTAGAGGTCAAGTCCTGCCTGAAGAATAAGACCAAGGAGGCAGCAGAGCTGCCCATGGTGATCTGTGGGAACAAGAATGACCACAGTGAGCTCTGCCGCCAGGTCACCGCCGTGGAGGCTGAGCTGCTGGTGTCTGGGGATGAGAACTGCGCCTACTTTGAGGTGTCGGCTAAGAAGAACACGAACGTGAATGAGATGTTCTACGTGCTGTTCAGCATGGCCAAGCTGCCCCACGAAATGAGCCCCGCACTGCACCATAAGATCTCTGTGCAGTACGGTGATGCCTTCCATCCCCGACCCTTCTGCATGCGCCGCACCAAGGTCGCAGGTGCCTATGGCATGGTCTCACCCTTTGCCCGTCGTCCCAGTGTCAACAGTGACCTCAAGTACATCAAAGCCAAGGTCCTACGGGAGGGTCAGGCCCGAGAGAGGGACAAGTGTAGCATCCAGTGAGAGGCAGGGACATCGGGAGGGGGCTTGGGCAGTGCCTTAAGGGAAGTGGCTGAGGATTCCCACTGCCCACATCCCACGAGGGCCCTAGGCATGTACACTGTGCCCGTTCTCCTGATTCCTAGCCACCTCCTGTGAGTTCTTATGTCTATGGCTCCTTTGTTGTAGGACAGAGACACATTTGGGGACATGTCAGAACTCAAGTTGAGACAAGCTTTCAGTGTCCTTAGAGTAGGAGGAATGCAGACAGACCAGGAGTCCTGCGTCAAAGCAAGATGCTCCGTACAAGTCACAGGATGAGAACATCTTAGCCAGATGTCACAGCCAGATTCCCTGGTGGCCTCTGCTTCCTCTGTGTGGATCAATCTGGTCTCTATGCTTCTGGAGAAATCAGCCCCAGCCCTCTGGCCCAGCTGTGTACACCCACCCCTCCAACTTAGCCGCTGGCCACCCCGACATTGAGCCAACAGAGTGTGTGTGTGTATGTGTGTGTGGAGGGGTGATGGGTCCATGTCCCTTAGACCACTGCCTCCTGGCTTCTCTCCCAGGCTCCGCCATATGACATTGTTCTTGTTTTGAAGTTGTTTCCTGTTCTGTTTGCAGTAGACATGAAGTCCTTGTATGGTAAGAACCCAGTGACCTGTCTTTGGCCAGTTCAAATCCATTATTTTCCCCTTCCTCTCTGCTCCCAGGCAGACTATGCAGCTGAATCCTGTGCTGTGTTCAGCAGCTTACAAATGAACCCACAACACCACAGTCACAGAAGGCCAGGGTGTCTCTTCTGCCCTCAGGAGAGGATGACTGGGCTTTGGGGGAAGTGACTCTAGACCCCTCCACACTCCTCGCTAGATCAGGACAGAGCTCTGGACCAGCTTCTGCTGTAGCTCCTCGAGCCTCTGTCGAGCACCCACTGGATACTGAGCTTCCTGTGCGCTAGGCATCAGAGCGAGAGGTCCTGTGTGTTCCCAGCTCTGGCCTCTGCCCACTGCGGTGCCTTTTGCACACACAGCTGCTGTAGGAAGGGAAGGAGCCGAGAGCCTCAGCCGAGCCCAGGATAGGTTGGCAGGAAGACACGTGGTGGGTCTTTTCCTGGTGCTCAGGCTGTGCTAGGCACTTCTCCCCGCAACGCAGGGGTAAGGTGAGAGATGACCGTGATCCTGAAAGCCAAAGGCCCTGTTCAGTTCTCAATACATGTGGTCTTTAGGCCCTGTAATACCACCATGACTGGCCCACTGAGATGGTGCCTGCTGCCAAGCTGTTCAACCTGAGTTTGATCCCTGACGTCACATGGTGGAGGGAGAGAACTAACTTCTGTAAGTCATCCTTTGACTTCCACACAGGCACCATGGTACCTGCATGCACACAAAGTAATGAGGCCGATTACCCCAAAGCATAGGGATCCATTAGTGTTCCTTCAAGGCCCAGAAGTGTGAGTCCACACACACCGCGTTGTACCCTCTCCTCCTGGAGCTCCTGGTGGCAGGGGTTTGGACCCCCAGTGATCACTGAGGTTACCCATAGATGCTGTGTACATTGTCGTCCGTAATGCACCTCGGCTCCTGCTCTGCACAGCAAGCCTCAGGCCTGGTCCTGACTGTGTCCTCACAGCAACACCTGCTGCTCAGCACCTGCTTCTGTCCTGCAGCAAACACCCCCACTCCCCGCTAGCCCCAAACTTGAGAGTATAGCAGGCGCTTGTCCAGGCAGGTGTATGGCCTGGTTCCATCCGGCCAAGCTCCACTGCCTGGACCTTTGTGTACACTATCAATTAAAGTTGGTTTGTTAGCAGCTGTGCCCTTGATGTTTGTTTGCTGTGTTTCCGTGGAAGGGGCTTCTCCCTGGGCCAAGGTCTGCCTGTAGACGACAGTGTCTTCAAATTCTAATTTGGGAGAATGAAACCTAATGAAGGGAACTGGACCTGGACCTGCTATGGTGTGTGCTCTGGTGATGTCATCAGTGTCTGCAAGGATTGTTGATTATCCAGACTGGCTGAGGCGCGTATACCTATTGTCCTGGCTACTTGAGAGGCTGTGGCTGGAGGATTGCCAGAGTGATCAGCCTGGCAGTGCAAGTCTGCTGAGAGCGGGGGCAGAGACGCTGTTCAACCTTCCGAGACACAGGACACAGTCCATAGGGATGGTGGACAGTGCCCACAGAAGGGCAGCAGGGGATATATGCCTTTCTGAATGGCAAGAACAGTATGTCTTTGTGAAGTGTGAAGGAATAGGATGTGGTTGGGGACAGCACCTGGAAGCACAGATATCTGACCCTGAATGACCCCATGAGTGGTGTTTATGTAGCTGGGTGCCCCTCCCTAGGCAGAGGGAAGGGCAGGGAGGTGATGGTTGCTAGCCCACCTTAAGCACATTCTTGGCCGTTCCAATTTCGAGGGACCCATCTTTTTCTGTAACTATTGGGCACAGAGCTCAACTGCTCTGTGGATGCAGGTTCTGGATCATGGGTACCTGACTCCTACATGGGTGAGGACAGGATTTTGAATCTGGGCGAACAGTTTTCAGCTTGGCAAGTGGCTGTCAGCACTGCAGGGTGCCAGGGCCTGCAGGTGGAGATCAAAGAATAGAAGGACCCTGCCCACAGAATGGGAACCCAGTGGGGAGCCACAATCCCTAGAGGGACACTTACAAGTAGGTTAGGCCCCATTGGGGTGTGGAGAGAACCTTGCCTACCTGTCTAGATCTAGCTCCTCTAGCCCTTAGCCACCCTGAGGGTGGCTTGAGCGTGTTCTCGGTCTTGTGTCTTGTAGAATAAGACATGGAAGTAACCACTCCCTGGTGCTATAGTCACCGCCTTGGCTGTCCCACAGGGAGAGCTAGCTAAGAAAAATGTGCTGCACCTTGAGTGTCCTGCCCAGTGTATCCCCGTTATATCCTAGCCCATCACCACCACTGCATGTCCTCCATGTGGGATTCTGGGTAAATCCCATCTCAACAAACACCATCTATAAATGGGGTGGGCAGGGACCAGCTGGGTCAGATGTGCACAGAACAACCCTCTAAGCCCTGACACTCCCCTGCTAGCTCCATGCCCTGCTTCCCTCCTCCCCTCTGCCTGCCCCATGCTCCCCATTCTCTCCCCTCCTCCCTGCTCCCACAGTTCTGCCACTAGAATGAGGTTGACAGCAAAGAAGACAACTGCAACCGCGGGCAGGTAAAATGAACTGTTAGCAGGCTGCCCCTCCTGGAGAGACTGAGGCTAGAACCTCATGCCAGTTAAGTCCCCTGACCTCTAAAATGAGCCCTGAGAATCAGGTTTCAGAGAAGCCTGCACCCTGAACAATGAGTACTTGTTCTGCCTCCTTGAATCTGTCACTCAGGAGACAATCCTCAGCCTGCGTCAGGGCCTGGAGGACTGATGGGAACCTGACAGCTGCTCAGCAGCAAAGGCTGCTGGGAGTAGGAGGGGAAGCACATGCTGACCTTTAACCTGTGTTCTCTCATTGGATCTTCCCGGCAACTCAACCTAGGACTGGATCCCTTTCTGATAGTTGAACAGACGTGGAGAGGTAGGGTTGTTTGCTTGATGTTACCCAGCAAATACCCAGGAAAACCGGGTCCATAGCAACTGATTTCAAAGCATTTTGTTTTCCAGGACTTTTGTAACTGGGTGACTGCTGTCTGGAGAAGGGCTGGCAGGTGGCAACTTCAGAGAGGCGATCCACCTGGCCAGGCAGTGTCCAGGCTTCCATTTCTAGCCTCCTCCATTTGTGAGGCAGAAGCCACATTCAGGTTCCACTGGCGTGTCAGGGAAGATGAACACAGGAGTCACATGCCTGCATATCATATGTGGACTCCATACATCATTACACGCCCCTGATTGGGAAGGTCTTTGTCAAAAGCTCCAAACTCTGATGACATTGACTGTGGAGGAGGAAAGTGCCCTCGGTGGCCTGCCTGCCATTGCTCAATGTCATAGGCCCAGACTCAGGACACTACATAGTCTGAGTTCCAACAAGATCTCAGCTCCACAATCACACAGCAGACCCTGTCCTCTGTGACTTAAAAAGCTTTACTACTAGCATATATGTGTGAATGTGTGCCACAGCCCATGTGTTCGGGATCAGAGGACAAAGCAACTCGGTGGAATTGGTTCTTTCCTGCTGCCTTTGTGTGGGTTCTGGAGACTGAATGCAAACCATAAGGCATGTGCGGTAAGCACCTTTACCTGCTGAACCACCTGTGTGTATATGTGATGTATGTGTGTAGGCCAGAAGGCAGCATAGGGTGTCAGGCATTGTCTTAGTTAGGGTTCTACTGCTGTGAAGAGACACCATGACCACAGCAACTCTTACAAGGAAAGCATTTAATTGGGGTGGCTTTCTTATTGCTCAGAGAAATTTACCCCATCATGGTGGGGAGCATGGTGACATGCAGACAGATGTGGTGCTGGGGCTGAGAGAGTACTTACATCTTGACAGAGGCAACAGGAAATGGACTGACTGTCACAGTGGGAGAACCTTGAGAAAAAGACCTCAAAGGCTGCCTCCACACTGTGGCCTGGATTAAAGGCATGTGTCATCCAGCCATCTCCAACAGGACCACACTGCCTCCAACAAGGCCATGCCTCCTAATGGTGCCACTTCCATTGATCTTATGAGGGCCAAATGTGTTTGAATTACCACAGGCATCATCCTCCTTATTTTTAAGGCAAAGCTCTCACTGGCCTGGAGCTCTCCGCATGGGTTAGGCTGGCTGACCAGTGAGTCCCAGGAAACCTGACTGTCTCCACTTTCCAGTGCTAGGATTTCATGTACAATGGGTTAGGCTGGCTGGCCAGTGAGTCCCAGGAACTCTGACTGTCTCCACTTCCCAGTGCTAGGATTTCATGTACAACCACACTTTTACTTGGGTTCTAGGGGTCCAACTCAGAATCTCATGATTACATGGCATAATTTACTGTCAGTCATCTCCTATATAGATTTTAAAAAATTGCATGAAAATATGATAGCTCAGTTCCCTAAGAATGTTTTTGTAGCCTCTAAAGTTTGCATTGGTGCCAATGCTTCTCTTGTTTCTCATTGTTCTCAATGTTTCCTCCATAGCATCTTCATGATTCAGTTTGCACCTTTGTAAAGTAGGGAGATCGTATTGCCATGCCTCTGGATGATTATGTCAGTTGAAAGAATTAATACTTGTAAAATGCTTAGTTCAGTGCTGGTGGAGAAACTCAGGCCCAGCTAGGTGGGCATTGATTCCAACAGGGCACATGTCTGACCAGGATTGACTCTAGGTGGCTGTGCACATGTTGCTGTCTTGGAACCTCTGTTTCTTCCCAAAGGGACTAGATTCAATCAAAGAACCAATGAGAAGGTTTGGGAAGCCAAGCTGGGCAGGGGCTTCAAGAATGCTCTGCTGTCTAAGGCCACAGGCGTTTTTCTGTGGTGGGTGTTGTAGGCCTAAAAGACCTCTCCCCACAAATGGCTAACTGAGGTGCCTATTTAATATATCAAAGCGGACACTGGCCAATAGGTTCTCTCAGCACACAAGCACCTCTTGCAAAGTCCTAGCTCCTTGCAACACTTCTCACCTCTCCCTCTCCCCTAAACCTCTCCAGTTCAAGCTTTGTTTCCCTTCCATCAGCTTCTCTTTCCTATATAATTCAGAAAGTTTGGCTACGTGCTCTCTTGGCTCTGCTATTGGCCTCTTGGTCTTCTCTTTGTCCTCTTGCCTTCCCCTCTCCATGGTGCAGTCTATTCTGCTGATCACGTTCAGTCTGGATTCTTCTAGATGCTCCTGGATGTTCTCTCCCTCTTATCCACAACAGAAACCTCCATCATACCCAGGAGTGGTCATGACCTATGTTAAAACCTCCATCATACCCAGGAGTGGTCATGTCCTGAGTTTTTCACTCATCTGGTGCTGAAACCAGGAATAGCATATGTGAGCTCCCCCAGGGGACTCGCCTCCTGAACCAAGCTGCTGAGTCTCCTAAGGTACGTATGGATTATTTGTTTCTGCTGGCTTCTGCCACACACCAAATTTGACTCCAAATTCTAGAGTTTGCCTCTTCTCCTGCTACTTCTCTCTACCTGCTCTAACCATTTGTCTCTCTGTGTCTGCTGGTACGCTCTCTAGCTCTAGGACCCTGGGACACCTGCCTGCCATGCTCCACTTGGGCATCTCTCTACTAAGACACTTGCCCTTCTCGCTCTATTGGAACGAGCCTCTCTCATTCTGTCCTTCAGCTGCTTCTCCTCTACTGGGTAAGGATGACACGTTCTTGGGGTTGCGTGCTTTGACTAAGCCGCACCAGTGTGTCAGGATGCTCCTGTTGCCCTACTGGGCCTCTGTCACACGGAAAAGGGCGCCTCTCCTCTGTGATCAGTCTGTTTGGGATTGAAATTCTTGCTCCATTTGTTCTTATCTCCCCGCCCCCCTGAAGTTTCCTTGTCTCCCCATAGGAGCTTCCTGCTAAGTTCTTCAGCTTCTCTGTGCCCTCCTGGGAATCCTTGCTCAGGCAATTCCTGCAACTCTGTTCTTGAGTCTCTCTTGGGGTTTATAGAAACTTCCTCCAGCAAAGTTCACTTCAGGACCCTTTCTCCTTTTGTCTCACTAACTATTGTTGTGCGTAGGCCTCATTCCCAGCAGCAGATGGCCAGCAGAACACAGACGGCTGGCAACTTTGCAGGCCCCTTCTCTCCTTATGTTGACTCTGGACTGTCCTTCCTTTTTAAAACATCTATATCTATTTTCTAATTTTTAAGTTTCTCTTCCCTCTCTGTTTCTCTCTCTCTCTCTCTCTCTCTCTCTCTCTCTCTCTCTCTCTCTCCT